TAGTTGTTACTGGCTTATTAAATGTTTCTTTGATTTTTTTAAATTCCCCTATCATCCATCTTCTGTGTTGTTCGTATTCCCTGCACACTAAAACGACATGTTCTGTAGTTTCTTCTTGTCCACAGTGCTCACATTGACCTGTCATGTTTTTGGATTTTGTATTAAATGTATTGTTCAGTGCCGTGTGTCCAAATCTAAGTCTGCTTATTAATCTTTCTTCTTTTCTGTTCCTTCCTCCCGTTCTCATTTCTCCGACTTGTCTATGAATCCTATAAAACCATCTTGCTTTATCTTCTTCCCATTGTTTTTGCCATTGCTCCTTCGGTTTTTGTTTGACAATAGATCTGAATAACTTATTGATATTGTGAGGTTAATTTGAACATGTGTTACTTGATTTGCTGCTCTGTCTGCTGCTTCATACCCCCTGATTCCTATGCTGGTATCCATAAAAAGTTTACTGTCCCATCAATTTGTATTCTGAATAGTGTTTGTTGTATTTCTAATAAAATGTCCGGTCGGCTGTCTGATTGACTGTTCTCCAAACTTACAAGTGTTGAGCTTGAATCTGAACAGATGATGTTTTTAATGGTCTTGTTTCTTCTACCCACTGCACTGCCAACATCTCCCCTGTGTATACTGATACTTGATTTGTGATTCTTTTCTTTATTTCTGTTTTGAAATCAACTGTTGGAGCTGAACTCTGTTTAAGTGACGGAGCAGCTTTTTACTATTTTAATTTCAGAAGAAATTAAAATACCAACAGGACCACATCCACAACAGGATGTGGTCCTGTTGGCTTCATCGGAACGAGATCTGCAGCTCTCGCTGGAGCAGTTCGCGGCCGAGTGCGAAGCGGCCGGGATGAGGATCAGCGCCTCCAAATCTGAGACCATGGTCTTGAGCCAGAAAAGGGTAGAGTGCCTTCTCCGGATCAGGGGGGTCGCCCTGTCTCAAGTGGAGGAGTTTAAGTATCTGGGGGTCTTGTCCACGAATGGGGGAAGATGGGAGCGGGAGATCGATAGGCGGATTGGCGCAGCGTCTGCTGTAAAGCGGGCGCTGTACCGGTCCGTCGTGGTGAAGAGAGAGCTGAGTCAGAAAGC